TATGTGATGGCAACTGCGTAAATCAAGCTTTTTTAAAATTATATCCTACACTTCCTGAAAAACCTTGGTTAACTGAAGATAAACATTTGCTTTTTGATTATGTTCATCTGTTGAAAAATATTCGCAATTTGTGGCTGACAGAAAAAACAGAACTAATCTTTGATGATGATGGAGTAAGTCGAGTTGCAAAATGGACACATCTTAAACAGTTATATCATTTTGAATCTGAAAGACTAGTCAAACTTTCAGATTTAAATGAAATTTCCATTGCCAATAGAAAGACAACAGGTTTCTACTTGCCTCAGAGTGTTTTCTGAAAAAACATATAATGCACTTCTCACTCAGTCTGAATAAGAATGATACTGCTCTCTTCATAAACAAGGTTTTGACATGGTGGAAAATTTTAAATGTTAAATGCCTTCAAATTGATAAATTACATAATGATCCTCTACAAGCTGAAATCAAATCTCCAAATGACACCCAACTTGATTTTATCATTGAATTTGGTAAAATGGCTCTTCATATGGCTGGCAGTCAAGGTAATCATAAAAAACAATTATCCTAAAACACTGCTACTGCCATACATCATACTTGCAATGGAATTGTTAGTCTATGTCGACACCTTTTAGCTACAAGTCATAAATATGTATTACTTGGGCAATTTTCTGATCCATTAGAAAAAGAATTTGGTAAACTTCGCCAAGGATCAGGTGGCACCTATTTTATAAATGTTCAACAATGTATTGAAAAGCTGCATATTAAGCAGACATCTTTACTTTTAAATCAAAATGTAAATATTGCTGAATTAATCCAGGTCACCAATGTATATCTTGTGATTATAAACTTTGTGAGGAAGGTTCAGAAATATTTGGCAATCTGGAAAATTTAGAACCATCTTTTTCCAATGAAATAAAAATGGCTCTTGTGTACATAGCTGGATATATTACAAGAAATGATAATCAACCCAGTGAATGTGAAACCCATTTTTATTATGAAAAGTATGGAAAATATACCAATTTAATTGACTGTGGAAAACTAAAAGTTCCTTCTGACCACACTTGTCAATGGTTATTTTTTTGTTTCATCCTTTTCCATACAATAAAGGAAAAGGTTTGCTATAAATCATTAAGTAACATTTTTATGCTTATTTCTGAGTTTCATTTTTTCAACATGGAATAAAAGCATGCTTCTATTTTTGCAAATATAGTTTTGAAAAATTTTTGCAAACATGGCACACCTAGATCAGAAAAAGAACCAGCTCTAAAAGTTTTGAAACTTTCCTAGAATGATTTTGTTTTATTTGTCTATATTTCTGTGATGATTGATTGTTATATACACACTTCGGCTGATGTCTTCCAGCCTTCTCGGTTTGTGTTTGTCAAACCCAGTAACTGTAATGTAAATTTAAACCAAAGTCTTTATTCACTCACAGGGAATAGATTGAATAAAGGATTCAGTGACACCTGTAAATAATATAAATTTCTGATTCAATATATCTTTTACCAGAAATCATAATTACCCCTTTGTGTTGTTAGTAAAAATACATATTTTCATTTATTTATCTTTCAACACATCCTATTATCCTCAGGTGTGAATAAAAATGTTATTCTAAGTATTTTCATAAAGTGGTTGACTTCATTTTCTTCTAAAATTTCTGAAAATCCTACATTTTTCAATAGGCCTCCAGTTCTGGCTCTCAGCTGCGCCATGACTTGGCCTGGAGTATAGAACGTCATGAAGCCTACACAAAATTCTTTTTGATATAAAATGAAGAGAAAAATTAATCAGAGAAGAGTGTCTGAAATCATGTGAAAGGTTTCATTTCAGTTCCATGCAACCATCACTGAAGTACTTGCCAGTGTAAAATTACTCACCAATTATATTATCGGCCTCTAACCAACATGCAGCACTTCAAAGAATTTTCTCTCAACAATCCAAGAAAGCTAAATATTTCAAACTATCTCTCTAGGTCTACTTTTGAATGTATCCAAACTATATAGCCCTTTTGTAAGCAATAAACTCTCTTAAACATTTTTGAATATTATTTTGCGTCAGATCATTTAATTTGCTGTATGAACATTTCCTGTTCATGACAATACACTAAAATTATGGACTTTAAGAATGCTGATTTATTTCCCTGAAATGAGCAACTGACACTAATTCAAGTGTGCAAATTTGAGAATAAATTCCTTATCTTGTTTTGTTAAAATTATCTATGAGTTTCCTCATCACTATCATCCTTCATTAATCAACTGTTCATTTTAAACTTAAGCCCCACACTGCTATAAATGACAATTCCCTACATATATTTTTGACTCAAAGGTCAGTTCAGTTTAAAGCAGTTTACATCAAGACTTTTCATTTTGCTGTTTTTACTGAAGTCATTTTTCAATACTGTGTCCAAACTATACATGTACTATGAAGATTAAATAACTGCATAAAAATACTCACATCTTTTTTTAATATACACTAACTGAAAAAACTAAAATTTAATGAAGCCATCAGAATGTTCACTGCTATCTTTGACCTAAATTAATATATAAGCGACAGTCATAATGTTAATAAGCATTTCTGCATTTTCTGTCATAAAATGCATAATGTTTCATTCATGAGGTGATTTGCAGTTATTCTGAACAACAGGGATATATAAATATTCTCCTCAATACACTGGCCTACCCAAAAGTAGGGCTTTTATGGTATGATGTGCAAGAGGATATTTAAAGCAACAATTTGGGGGAAAAAATGTGCATTTTATAGCAATAAAATGAATAGTATCAACTGCAGTTAGATTAAAAAAAAAACTTCCTCCCTGCTATTGGTTTCATATTACTTGAAGTGGAGATAAGCAATGACAAATAAATACCACATGCTTCAAAGATGACATAAAGAACTAAACTAATTTAAACAAACAAAATCTCTTCTGTTCATATCGCATCTAATTTATTCAACAGAAAGAAATACAGTTTAAAATTTCAATTTTGATATTTGCCTCTTGCACTCCAAAAAGCAATTTCCAATTTAATGTTTATTAAAATTATATATTTCAAAATGTAAACAAGAAACAGCTTTATAATAATAATAATAATAATAATAATAATAATAACAATAATAATTGACTATCTAATTATCTGGGTGCTTTACCCTAGTTACAAATGAATTTAAATATAGACATCATAGGTTAAGGAAATAGCTACATTGGAAAATATGCTAACATTATAATCTTCCCCATACAGAAAAATGGCATGAACACAAATCAATACTAATACTAGAAGGTGAAAATGATACAATACTCCAGAACTTCACCATATATATTGACTGCACTATAGAAGACAAGTTACCAGATATAATAATAAAAGACATCAAAAATAAATATCTTCCAGACATAGCTACCTTGTCTAATAAAAACATCTCAAAAAAGAATTTAACAGACTTTCAAACAATAAGGACCTGGAAATAGAAATTTGAAGAATGTGGTAACACAACTACTATTTCATTAATAATAGAAGCACTAAGAATGATTAAAAAGAATACTGATACCTGAAGGAAATCTCATGAAACCCATCACTAAGATGCAAAAGATGATGCTCATCAGCACTGCTCACATACTCAGAAAAATTCTCTTAGTATAATATGTTCAATAACTTTCTAAGAAAAACCTTCCTTTACCTCAGGTAAAAAAAAACTTGGTCAAGTATTGTATCAACTAGGGAAACTGGAAATGATGATGATTTAAAGAAAAGGTAAATTAAATAAACATTTATTCTTATGACTATTATTCTTATTTCATTTGTTGTTTGAACTACATTCTCTTCTTTGTTGGTTTTAACAGCTGATTAATTCCTTTCATCTTCATTGTTTGAGTCATACATTAAGAATTTGCTCTTACTATAAATTGTTCTACATATGAGAATAAAAAATTCATGCAGACAGCAATAATATTTTTTTCTATATATGCAGCAACCAATATAATTAATCTTTTCAAATAAAACATGCAATATTTTTCTTTACTTGTGGAAGTTCCTGTGGTGGCTTTTTTTCTTTCTTGATTATTATATCCACATTGAGTTCAACTCTCTTCATAACTTAGTATCTTGGTCTTTTGCTCAATAATCTTCTTATAACTGGTGTTTTAAGGGAATTTTTGTCGAAGAAACAAGAACACCTACTTATCCATTTTAATACATTTCCATTATCTGACTACTAGAGTGACACTTGTATCAACCTCTTAATTGAAGAAAACATTATATAAAATGACTGTTATAGAAATTGATCCAGTATTGATATTTGAAATGTGGTGATAAGAGTTAAACATATGTATATTTAAATATTTTTCTGAATAGATGTTGAAAATACTTCCCTCTATTCTTAACTGCTGCACATCCTTTCATGAGAAACTACTTAATATAAAAACTATGATTAGCATATAGTGAGGTGATTAAAATTTAAAAACCAGGGCATATTAAAAACAAACACATACAAGGGATACTAAAGTGTTTGGGGTTTGAAGAAGGAATTTAAAAAAAAATAATGTTTAAGTATTTTCCGGCATCCTCTCTATACATATCTTTCAAAACATTAACATATTAAAAAGAGAAAATAAACCTAAAGATAAGAAGGAAAATACAGTCATGCAGATTCCTTTTGAATACTGTCACTACTACCAAGATGACACTTCTTACCATCCATATGTGGCCAAATGCCAAGTGTATAAACAGAGAAGTGCAGTCAGTGAGTGTTGAGTCTTGCCTTGAGCTTTAAATCATGCTCTTGTTTGAAATAGCATTTTGAAGAGAGCTTCATTCTGGAAACAGCAGTCAAAGTCAGCTGTGAACAGAAGTTACAGAGAAGATGCGCTAATTGTTAGATTTCAAGTAACCAAAAGTTCATTGTTACTTGGTGAAAACAGAGAACAATGAGGATAAAAATCTATACAATAGCCAGTCAGAATTATGGCAATACAGGTGACAATGAAATTAGTACATACAATTCCTTAAATTTACCTGTACTGATGCCTTGAGATTTCTTCCAGTTATTGATTGTTGTGGCTTGCATAATTTCCGTGATTATGTTGTACCTGAAAAAAATAAAAAGTAATATGTATGAATATGATTTTGTGATTCACTATAATTTCTCTCATTTCACAAACAAAATCTTTCTTTAAACTTTTACAATCTATGAGTCAAGAGAGAGAATTATTTAAATTAACGTATGAAGTATCTTCTCTGTTGCTTAGATTTATTTTTACAAAGTCTTTGATTAATAACTTAAGTCACATTGAACTGTTTTTATGTTAGTCTTGTGAATAAAATAATAAAAAAATTAACTCGTATAACAGTTTAGTTCTTGCATGATTCTACAAAAGAACTAAATTATCACATTAGTTAAATTTCAATATTTCTTCTGACAATTACTCATATGATTCTATTAAATATTACTTTTTTAAATAGATTTCAAAATTTACTTCTAATTACATAATTTAATCTAATTATATTTTGAAGGATTTAGCCTTTTTTAATAATTATTCTTGGGAATGTGGGAGTTGGTATGGAAAACCTGATTAACAAGCTGAGATCAAATTCTAGCTGAGTTACTTGCATTCACTTTGTATTGTCCTTTAAAAAATGCATGACTACATCTTTTCTCCTCCCCAACTATAGGTTAAAGAGCAGGGTGGACTGAGCTTTCAAGCCCTGGGTGTCAACCTGTCTCCAAGAAGAGAAACCCACTAGGTATACATGTTATGAACTGTGAGAAGAACACTCCTTGAACTGAAACTTAGTCTGGCCATACATTGCAGTCAATTCACTACCATTGCTATTCAAATCCTGTCAAGAGGGTGAATCTAGACCTGTGCAATTTCTTACCTTAAAAAAAAATCTAGTTACATGCTGTTCCTAAAATTTATTAGCAGATGAATAGTAGATAAAAATTTTTTTTCACTATATTTGATATTAATCTCTACAAAGATATCATTATAGAAAAAAGCTTTTAGCTTAAGGTTATAATTTGATTATAAGTCTGCTTTCTAATGTGTAGCTCTTAAGATGTTACTGTGGCAGGGGCGATATTACCCCTGAAATAATAATAATGATAATAAAGGAGGATATGCTGTAAAAAAGAAAACACCAAATGAAAGAGAGGTGTTTTCAAATATCCAAGATGTTAATATGCTGTAAAGACTTTAAAATGTAAATGTTACAGAAAGTTAATTTAGAACACGAAATACAATCTTTTTGTAAGTGTACAAAGGATATCAGATTACTAATAGAAAATTACTGGAACAATAATAATTTGGAACTTTTAAACAAAGAAATGAATTTTGACACTATAAGAATCAAAGTTAAAATAGTTAAAAAAGTTTTGATCCAGAATTTATTTTTAAAACGAAAATCTCTGTAGCTTACAAAGAGTGGAAGAATAATTAATAGTGAGGTGATAAACAATAGTGTCTTGTTGTAAACCTTGGAAACCAATCAATGAAAAAGTAAATTGTTTATTCTTGGAGGAGTGATGTTGTACTTTGGTAGTATGTCAGTAAGTTTGCACTAGAAAAACAGATACGTCACCAGTCTGGGGACATGAGGCCGGTTCTCATAATAAAGAGGTGAGCCAACTGGAAGAGACAGAGATTTTGGGTTTGTCTGTCTTCAAATGCAGTTGAACTAAGTAGAGAGATGTCAGAGATTGAAAAGGAAGCATCTGCTGCATGTTGCTGAGGCTGAGGGCAAAAAAGCAAAATACCGCCGCAAGTATCTAAGTACTGCTACTTCTGCTACTACTAATACTACTACTATTACTACTACTGAGAATGGGAACATCAAAGGTTGTAGCAGTTGCGCTAAGAACAGACCAAAAAGGGTTAAAATGAAGGCCACATCTCTCCTTAAGTATTGTGTTTAGTTATTGTTCACATTCAACCTTGTGCAACAAGAATTATTTTTTTGCTTTTATATATATAAAAAATACTTTTGTCCTTTCAAAATTGAATCAACTTGATTATTTATTTTCTCTGTTAATCTGATTCTCACCTGACAAACTTGCAGGTGGACCAACGGGGAGCTTTCTGATTTCTACAATCTGATGACCACTCTCCAGGATCAAAACAAACACAATGTGGCTGGAGGGTAGCTTCAAATTGACATTGGGAACCAGACTTGTGTCTAACCTGTAATACTGGACCATACCAAACCAATGGCCGGTCTTGTGAAGTGCATGGGTCCAGTGGGGTGAAGATACAGTGTTACATTACAACTAAAAGTGATGACATATAAAAATGTATTAAGTCTGATAAAAAATTGTCACATTTTCTGATATATGCTTTGTAACTTTGGAGATGATGAAAATATTGTTTATATTTCACATTATGGTTAAATGAAACTATAAAGAATAATAAAAAAATACCTGATATGTTTGAGGTATTCAGTATCATCACAGGTCTGTATCATTTTCACAAAATCCTCATATGTAGCAGCATATGTGTAAGATTTCCTAGTGTCTTCACATAATTTGGCTCGATAATCCAGGTATGCCAGTAATTTATCATTCAGGTATTCAGGATCACACAGCATGTCAATAGAAGGTTTAAAAACTGAAATAATATTACAATAAATTTACAAACATGAAAACAGTACAGGATTATACAATTTAGATATATGTATTAAAAGAAAAACAATTTTAACTTTCAATCAGATATCATAAATTTGGTTATACATAAATTCCAGCTCAACTTATACCAATGTAGAGAAGTTGTTAAGAACTCACAACATCCAGTATACATATACATACTCACAATAGACTCCTGCTTACAAAAGTCAAATGCTTGATTTGAGTTGTTCAAAGCTTGATAAATTTTAAAGAAAAAACACACAAATATACATTTTTATTTATAATATTTAAAAGAATACTTGAATATTGCACTTTAGGAAGACTGTAGGTTTGCTTCATCATGATCATTCCCATTTTTGTTATTAAATACAGTATTTCTGCAATAAAATATTATTCCATATTTTACCATAATTTTAGTATTGTAGATTACTTAAGTTATTAACTCAATAAACACATCAAAGTAATAGTTTTTAACTATAAAAGGTACCATTAACTATAAAGAATACATTCTGTCTTCTTACAGTTAACTATTAACTGTAAAATGACAGAATGCATGGTTGTCAGCAAGAGAAACAGCTCAATGAGATGTCACAAACAGAAATTTAATTACCTGGGCAGTGTAGTAACAGATGACAGAAAATGTGACACAGAAATCAAAAGGTGAATTGGAATAGCAAAAGATACTTTACAGAAACTAAACAGAATATTAAGAGATAGGAAAATTTAATTGGCAACAAAAGAAAGAGTGCTAAATTGCTACATGCTATTTATCCTCCTATATGGCAGTGAATACAAGACAATTTGTTTACAACAGATGAAGAGGCTCGAAGTGACAGAGATATGGTTCTACAGACAGATACTAAGAATATCATAGACTGGACATATGAGCAACAAGGAAGTTTTAAAGAGAAATGGGAACTAAAGGGACACTTACTTAAAATTAGATGGAGATGGTTGAAATTTCTGGGACACATAATAGTATGTTTTGTATCTACACCTACTTTTTGTGTGTTGCATATGTTTCTGTAAAACCTCTGCATTTTCATTTAATAATGGGAAGTCTCCCTTAAATAAATTTCTAAACCTAAATAGTTTCTCTCTTCATGCTTTATTGCAGGGTTAATCTTTTTTTATCCTAGACTAGACTTCTACAAACAGTATCAAAGAAACAATTCCTTATTGACTCCATAAACACCTTATACTATCAAACAAAGACTTTATTTGATTTGTCATGGTATTACAAAGAAATGAACATGACAAAAATAATAAACACATTAACTTTAAAAAAAAAAATAATGTAGTTCATTTTTAATTCTGAAAATAACAAATACTGAATGTAGCAAAATGCAAAGACATTTAAAGTGTTTATAAATAATCACATGGAACTTACCAGATACGGTAACGACTTCTCTCAGCAAATGACGAACAATGTCACATTGGGCATGACTTTTTGGGAGAATGATAGACATAACTGCTTCAGTTAAGAGTCGCAAGAATTCAACTTCTTTTTCATCACTCTCTAACCAAGGATAAACGGTATATTTATAAAGAGAAGTTGCTTCTTTGGATCTGCAGGAATATTATAAAAAATAAAATTGAAAATAATTTCACTTAAGTAATTATTCATATTGCTCAATAAAATTTTACAAGCACTATATTTGCAGAAGCTTAACCTGAATTGTTACTGTCATTTAATTTTAAATTTTTTTTGATGGTATTTTGACTATCTTAAAATGGAATCTGAGACAGCATGCTATTTGTGATGAATACCAAATCATATTGGCTTAGAACTCTTTTAAAGTTACCTAAAAATGTCTTTTGCTGTTCAATCACATAGACAGTGTTTCTATAAATTTGTTACCATTGAAAAATTATTTTTTCTTTTTATATATATTTTATACTGTTATAATTTCTACAAAAGCATGGAGAGATTTCAATATTTGTTCATAAAAATTGTTAACACTATTGTGACACTGTAAGAATGCTGATAATTTGAAGAAAAAAAGGCTTAAATTAAATCAAAAGTGAACACAAAGACAAAGAAGGTAGTAGATAGATTGAAGGACATACTGAAAACAAAAGAAAATATACTTTTATCTTGTTTTCTCCATTCATGAGTAAAAGACCTCACTAGAAGATAGTGTTGAAATCCACTTAAGCATCTGGTTAAAGTGAGGCTCAAGGGACAATGTGAGGGGAGTGCGATAAAATCCATGAGTCAGCAAGTCAACCGGGGCTGGCATTGTTTTGAACAGAGACCAAGCTAGTCACAGATAATAATTTTATAGCTAGAAGTAGGTGAAGAAGAGAGTAAAGAAATGATTCTATGTCACTTGTTGATAGGGGTAGAAGATACATGTGTTGATTTTCTTGGGCCAAAAAATTTTGTTCAAAAGAGGAAGAATTACGGACCAAATGTGATAATTAGGAATAAAAAAAAAGGCAGATAAAAATTTTACAACGACATTAAAAGTAACACCTGTTTTGTGTCAGGTGGAACACCTATTCCCTGGATGGTGGAAGCATGAGGAGCTGATATGAGGAAGTGGGAGGAAAATGAATATGCCCACTGAAAGGTGTGGGGTGCGAGCAAAAGAGAAGTGGGGAGAACAAGACAGCGGATTGACATGTTGCTACCCCTAATCCCGCAAGAGGAGCTCCCTATATTTGGACATGCAAATTGCTTTCCAGGACACTTGGCAGAGGGTTCTGATTGGACATTTAGAAAATTCTGGAACCCCAGATTGTGTCAGACCCGACATTAATGTTGGGCAAGGGTCTATAAAAGTATTAGATCAAAAGGGAATTACAGACAGAGATAGTAGCAGTTGAGGCAGAGATGCACTTACATTGTGGCAAGAGGAGACAATTGCTTCGCTGATCCCCATGTGATTTGCTGCCACAAAGAACTCCTGACTCATGCGTTGTTCCAGATTATTAGATAAATTGAGCAGAGTACCCTGATGAAATTGCAAAGTGGAAGAATTGAAAGTCTAAGAGAGAGAGGGAGACAAGCATTCCATAATTTGCTGCCTGAAAATGTCTCTGACTTAAAGTTTGAAACCTCGACTTGGAAATGAAGAACAATGTGTCATGAAATTAGACTATGAGGGAATGGTCATTAGGCTGCATGCTTGTATATGCTTATACATATTCTTATACAAGTGTTCCTGTATAAACCTCAGTTATATAAACCATGTTGATTTACATAACTTTCTTTTTTTTGTCTTATAACATCATCCTGGCTGAACAACACCAATACAGTGATATCTGGTGATGATTCGATCCTTGCCTGCCTTGTGATCAAAACAAACGCAACATGGAACTGGGAGAGGTTTGGAATGAAGTGACCAACTTCAAGGTTAGCTGTAAGATTCAATCACAGACACAACAGTGACTGAGGATGGGACAGCATTATCATGTAGCACAGAGACCAGGATGCCCCACAGCATTATATTATTAACAAAAACTATAGATATGAAATACTTTTATAGCAAATGAAAATACATTCTAAACATTTATGAGCACACTATTTAGAAATTATAAAATTTAAAAAATAAAATATACCCTAAGCAATATATACATTTTATCATACCATCACTTAATGACTATCATCATTGCATGTATTGAGCTAACTTTCTATTGTATAACAGATAAAACAGATAACCACTACTACAAATTTAAATAATGATTTAATTATTAAATAAAACATTTTAAAGATTTTATAACATATTCCTTCCAGTAATGTCAAAATTCAATCAATTTATTGAATATATGGGCATTGTATAATTTTGATTAAAAATTTGATGATGTCGTTCACTTAAAAAACACAATACAATTATAAAAGCCAGACTGAGCACAATTTCTGCTGAACCTACAAAGATTTTGATGTCCTCCATATGAGATGCAATTGAAATATTTAACTACAACTCAGAAGTGGAAAGCTCCATAAACTCCACACTCTGCCTTGACCTATAACAGTTGCAGTGGCTTATAAAGAGATTAAAAGGAAAACTGTTCAATCCTTTTTCTGTTGAGTAAATTTTTTGAACTAATCTCTATCTAATTGAAAATCAAAGCTGATAAGATAAAAAAGAATTAATATTCAGTTGTGATATTTTCCTTCTATTTAAATCTTCTTCAGAATTCCTGGTAGGCAAATGTGCATGAAAGAATGAAAGAGAAGCAACCAATGTTAAGCTGCTACAGTCTGATGTAATTTGCTGAATACAATGTGTGACTTTGTATATCTCTTCTGCAATCTGTGAAGGCTGAAGAGAAATGCGACTTAGATATCAAGAGTGTTATTCTAACATCTATAGAGAGAATTGTAACCTCCAACTAAACATTAGCATCAGTTTGGTTCAATCATTATTAAAAACATTCTTCAACAGCAGCATTGAACCTTAAGTGACTGCCTGATTTACAATTATATTGAGAATTTTAACAAAACAACTAAATCAATGCTCTGACACTTCACCTGCCCGAAAATCCTTAATCACCTCTGAGATATTCAGAACTTTTCCACTGTTTCAACATTTCCCTTTGAAACTGAATTGTAATATTTATTTGGGTCAATATAGAAAGTGTCATTCATATACTGGTTATATATATATATATATATATATATATACACATACACACTACTGCTATTTCTCACCTCTCAATTTTCCTTTCTTCAGAAGGTATTTTGCAACTGTAATTATTCCTTCTCTTTTGAAAAAAAAAGAGACAAAGACAGTAAAAAGAGAAAACTATTTGAGTTAGTTATGCTTATATCTATACAGGCTGAACAGGTAGCAGAGGGTTAATTGGTAAGGTGCAAGTGGCTTTTCCAGCCTGTAAGTTACTTAATATATTAGCAGTAGTAGCCATTTGTGATTAGGCTAACTTATAAAATCTAACCTATGTTGTTTTTTTTCTATATATATATAAGATGGATTATGTGGAAACCAGTTGGATGTTTAAATTTCTTATTTGTTCAAAGTTTTAAGTTTTGGTTTTAAGCCTGAATCTGCCAGTCACTATATTATAGTGGTTTCTATGTCCACACTGGATTTATATAAACAGTTAACTGTACAGTAAGAGCAAGTTTCCAAAGCTCATTCTGACTAATTTTGAGAGACTCTTTCAAATAAATAAATAAGAAAAAGAAAGATTTTAAGTGAACATTTTTACATGAAAAACTATAAATAGATAATCAATTATAAAGAAAATTTGTTGAAACCATAAGATTTCCATGATTTTATAATAATTGAACTTTTACATTGGTGATATTTTTCTCATGAAATATTAAAATGTAAAATTTATTATAATAAAAACAAAGGTTATGTGTTTAATTTTATTTTTGCCTCAAGCCAAGATATTAATGCTGAAAACAAATATCACTTTTTGGTCCATAAAGCATATAGTATTCTCTCATATTACAGGATAAATCTTAAACTTTATTTTTTCATAATCTTACATGTAGACTTGTATATTTATACCATTAATATAAAAAGAAATTCCTTAAATTTTACCAGAGAACTTTTGGGGGCTATATGAAAATGAAAAATTTCTTACTTCTTAGAAGCCATTCGAATTTCTTTGAAATGATTGTGCAATATATTGACAAGGTCCTGTGTAATAAATTTCACCATGTCCACCTTAGAGAAACATGTCGTAAAAGTATCTACCATGAACCAAATATCAGCTCTGAAAATAAATTAGTATTGTTTACAGAGAAATTAGATGATTCAAGAGACAATCAAAATGATACACTGTTGCATTATATAATAAGATTTAAATAGCAACAAAGAAAATTGGAGCTAGTGTAAGCAGGTAACAATGGTGTTGGGCCTTCAATCAAAAGTAGTTGTCAACTTCTCAACTTCAATCTCACGTAGAAATACTTGTTAGAATTTCTTGGTTTTCCACAATTCTGCAACCAAATACTTCATCTCACTGGGGTGGGGGTAGGTCACCAAGTAGCTTGTTAACAGGCTTTGATGGTCACCCTTGTTCCAGCTACTTCTGATGGTTAAAATTTAAGTATTGTTATATTACATGCTAATAGGAATATATACTTGACAAACATGGTGGATAAATAAGTAGAGGTTTATTGTAATTACCAGTACAATAAGAATAACGGTAACAGTTATGCACAAGGTCGTCGCAAGGAAATCCAGTAGTGAGTGCTACTATTGGAAGGTTGGTAGTTCTCTCATAAGTCGTACTCAACAAATCCCAGCTAGACAATATTTACCCCCCCCCCATGAGGGTAGATGTGGCACAAGGCTGAGTTTAATGTGGGTCATCCGAGCCCGTAGGCTTGGCCAAAAATTCCCCGTAGAATCCGCATAAACAGGTTTGGGTCTGTCTACCTCCCCAGACGAGACTACCCATCAGCACAGCCTCATCTGTGTTCCTCTCTGCCCGAAGGCAGAGAGTTCGACAGCACAGCAGGAACAGATCCCAGCTAGACTCCTGTAGTCCGTTGCCTTACGGATACTTATAGGTAGTTACTACCTATAGTATAGTCACTCATGGGAGTGACAGGTTATTCAAGTATTTACATTGAGAACCATTAAAAGCAGCTAGAGCAAGGGTCAGAAAATTGTTTTTCACTACCCACCCACCCCACAAAAAAATATTTGAATAAGGAACATACAAGAAACATACAAAAATTTCAAACACTGTTTATTACCAAACAAAACAACAGTTACTCTTTATTATTGCCTATCAGGATCTGCAATACTCAATTTTTGAATGTAACTTTTATCTTTAGCTCATTTCTTTTACTAATCGATTTAACTACTTATTATGTAAATCACAAGGTCTTATTTTGTTGGCTTAACAAGAAGATGCTGAAAAGTTCACAGCCTCACCAAAAATAATATTTTCACCCTACTTTTCAACACACATGGCACATCATATCTCAAGATTCTTAGCACTTAAAAAAAATTATTTATTTTGGAAAGTGGGTTAGCTTAAAAAATTTTCAACACCCTCTCATAGTAGAAAGAGACTTGATGTATCTTGATGTAACTGACTTCATGCTATGAAGTTTCATGTTTTATTTTTTCAAATCCTGTCATTTAATTTTATAAGTTAAAAAAAGAATTATTTATAGAATAAACAGATGTAAGAAATAATGCCTTTCATAAACCAATAACAGAAAGTTACCATTTTTCTAAAAAAAAATATAAATTAAAATTAGAATTGTACTTAGAATACAAACTGAACTCTAATAACAATTAGAATAGATGATCAAAATTGATGGATTTGGGTATGCAAATTGTTATAATTCGTGGCTGAAACATGAAAGTCTTACTGATAATTATATATTACAAAATCTTATTATCTACATTTAATAACAACTGAGACATTAATTTATAAACTATTAAAAAGCATATTTTGTAAACAAGCATATTCACAAATTCAGAACATAAAAAGGTATTTAAGAAAAACAAAAAATAAATTTTGTATACAGTAATGCTAATGTTCTTCATTGCATAATCAATAACATTCTAAAAAATATAATAAAAAATATATTGCAAGTTTTTGACTCTGCAGATAACACTTTTATAAAAAGTTAATGGATACTTGATCTGCTGTTATTACATTTTGTATCCATGTTTCTAAAATCCAGTTTATCAATATGTTCAATTTTGCTGAGAACAGGAACCTTTCTGATTTGAAATTTATTCAATACAGCAGCCACATTTTATGAAATATAACTTTAAATAACATTTAATAAACTTCATTTCATTCCCATTAATTTTATATTAAAAAAAAACATGAAATCTGACTAGCATAAACTGACAAAAATAAAATCTGACTAGCATAAACTGACAAAAAATAAAATCTGACTAGCATAAACTGACAAAATAAATCTGTTCCATAAATTGACAAAATAACTAAAATTGACTAGCATAAACCAACAAAATAAAATCTGACTAGCATAAACTGACAAAAATAAAATCTGACTAGCATAAACTGACAAAAATAAAATCTGACTAGCATAAACTGACAAAAATAAAATCTGACTAGCATAAACTGACAAAAATAAAATCTGACTAGCATAAACTGACAAAAATAAAATCTGACTAGCATAAACTGACAAAAATAAAAATGGTACAAATCAAAAAATAAATGAATAAATGAAAGGAGAAATATAAATAAATCTAAAAAGTGATATAAAGACATAAAAATGCTATAAATAAAAAGTGAATAAAAATGCTATAAATTGTCAAGCGTGGTCAAATATGATTGAAATTTGTTATGTTTTTCATCTGCAGACATATACGGGCTCAATTATATCATCCAAAATTTGTTTTCTTATATAAGAGAAACACAATTCAGATCAATACTTACTTTATGAGTGAAGCAATCAACTGGTTATCTTTGCCAAAATCTTTGTACCAGCTGATAACAAAATCATTAATAATCAAATCCATTAATTCTTGGATAGCTAAGTCCAAATTTCGTGTTGTCACAATTTTCTTGGGATTTACCTGACAAGCAGCCTTCTTTGTCTGCAAAAGAAACATTTCATAATTTTTTAGTTATTAAATTCTGATTATTCATTTTTCAAAAATTATCCTTCATAAAAGTTATTCATAAAGATATGAAACCACAATCTCATATTATGACTTTTATTTTAAAATAACCAGACAGAACATAATCTATATGAATAGTATAAGTCTTGACTTTAATAAAGTACAGTATAATCAGCTGTATTTGACATATGAGTGCTAGTTTAAGAGCAAACTTTTAAAATTTTATTTTCATAATTAATTTGAAATTTCATCTTTTGATAATTATACTGAACATGGTACATACTACAAAACATTCACTTACACCCTTTTAATGAACAGAATACTAATAATTTTTTTTTTTAAATATTCATTTTTAATCATTTGGAGACAAGGACAAGTTGGCTCTTGCACAAGATCAATTTCATATATGAAGTGATTCTATCTCAAAAAGTTCAAAAAATTTGACAATGAAAGATTTTTTTACTTTTTAATTACAAAATTAAATTTCCAGTCTCCTTTAAAGTAATCACCTAGTGTTTCTTTTTCTAAAGTTTCATGCATAATTTCCATAATAATAGATTTCATTTGTGCACACTTCAAATTCCCTGAAATTCAGGATATTCACAAACTGTGTGTTTGCGTAATATATACCAGTGAGAGAGAGAGAGAGAGAAAACTATAGATTTTTTTATTACAATAAAAGAGATAAGTGGAATATATTTATTCTATCTTTCACTGTATTAATAACAAAAAGTCTGGATGACTGGTAAGGAGACAATTCATTTTTGTACATTCCCTATAAGAAGGAGTATGAAATGACTTGACCAGATAATATCTTAATGAAATTATTTAACTGATTCTTGAAGAAGGAATCCTTCCCAAGTCTGTGGAAGGTGTTGAGTGTTCATCCCTCTCTCAGTAAAGATACACTGGCCTCCTCAGTGTCATTGGCAAACTTTAAGCTATAATCAACAAGAAGGTTGTTGATCACCTCAAGTGACAATACAGATTTCAATCAACTTGGTCCACTGCTGATATCCTGTCAATACTCACAATCAGTGAGGCACAAGACAACAAATACATCTCAAGGCCAATCACATTAAATATTTCAAAGGTCTTTGACAAGGTGTGGTATAGAGGGTTATTGCAGAACCTCTCTAACTATGGAATCACTGGAAGAGTCTCCCCTGACCTAGCTTAGTGGAGAAAACCTGGCTGGTCACATTCAATACCTCAAAAACCAAACTAGTGATGTTCCATCTTCACCTATTGTGATGAACAGGTGCTCTCTGAGAGAGAAACCATACTTTGAGCACCTACTGAAGCTTAAACTCAACCCATACTTCAAGTGGAACTCATACATATGACCCATTGCTAAAAATAAGTTCAATCTCCAATAAGTACCAGACTCTTACTGCTATCCTAAAGAGCCAGATCAGGCCAAAAAAAGTTTACAAATGCCATATATAGGCAGAAGCTGCCCAGCCTTCACTTTCCTGTATTCATAGAAACCAAAAGTGTCTCTGTGTCCTTGTGAGTGACAAAATATTTTCCCTGCATATCCTCAAAAACTGTGCCTCTTACTCAGTAACCATCAAACTTGAGAGGTGCTTGGGCCTTGTACAGGGTGAACATCATTATAAAATTTTTTTTTAAAATTTGGCTACATCACAGATATATATATAAATTTGTGAGTAGATTAATAAGTCTATAGCTTGACACAGCTGAATTTTGATTTGAAATTTTCACCATTATGTTTGATATATGGTTCATAGAGAAGCAATAATAGGTTAAAAGCACTGACAAGGACAGAAATTTTGTCATAAATTAAATATCTACTATATAAAATCAATGAATTTTTTAAATTATTAGTCTACAAACTTATTGATTTACTTATATTCATACAGGTCATACCAAGAGTAAATCTCTGTATAACTTTTAAAAACTGACTCCAAAACAATAATGAAGAGAAGATTATTTTTAACAGAATAAACAAAATAATACAAACAAAAATGATATCCTAAGAGGAATCAAAGTCAACATACATTATTAGTTTATACTTACCATCATTTTCTGTACAAGCATACTGACCAAACTTTGTTTTTGAGTGGGTAGAGCAGCATGGTATGATTGACCTCTCATTAGGAACCATTTCAGTCCAACAAACATCCCAAGAATACAAACAGAAATGTAGAGAATGCCAAAAGCAACAGTCTCAAAAAGACTATGGTACCAAAGAATGGCCAATGCCATACTCCCGATACCTAATATTAAGCTCCCAACAATTTCCATTTCTTTCCAAATAAATAAACCTGCAACAAACATGCAAAAATAAAGCAAGTCAAGATACTTTCAAAATGTGGCACAAACTATCTGGCAATATCTTATCCAGTTATAAATCTGTACCAAAGAAATCATTTCTTTCTTTTTCTGACACAGTTTAAGGTTAATACTCTAAAATTCCTGTAAATTGGTTCAAAATCTTTATATGAAACATTTTGCTTACAGTGACACTTGTAGATTAATAACATCAATTAGGGAAGTTTTGTTGTGTTTTAATTTCATTTTAAATTTTAATATATTTTTTTTTGTCCTAGTGAGTAGTTGTCTGGACCCCATTTTAAGCCTACATGCCATGGGTAACCATAGTCCAGCACAGCTTTCTGCCATTTTAGTAATACTTGTTTCTTTCAGCTTTTTACAACCACTCTTTGTCCTTGTGGAACTTGCTCCTTCATTTGTTTATTCAAACCTGTCAAGTTGATTTTTTATTGCTTTCTTCAGTTTATTTTACGTCCTATGTGCACTGTGTGTGTTAAATTCTCCAAACCTTCTTTCTTCACATATCAAAAGATTTCTGCTCTTTCTGATTGTTAGTGTGTGAGTCTATCATACATACATACAAATACAAATCACATACAATACCAAGCATTCATTGTTTAATTAATCACCACTACGTTATTATAGACAATTTACAAATCGCAGCAATGGGACAAATTTGTAATCTTTTGTAATCAGTTTTGTATTTTCATGTATATATATTTCATTGTCAAATTTCTTGAACTTTTTGGGATAGAATCACTTCATATATTAAATTGATCTTAAGTCTCGCCAAAGCTCACTTGCTGATTGGTCTATGCCAACCAATCAGATTGTCTGCACGTTAAGATTAATTCTTCCCGTGCAGTGATCTGGAGCCTATAGTCACTTATTTAAGCAAGAATTTTTCTTAGCTAATTAGTGAGAATTCAGCTGCCAAACAAATCCACGATAGTTGAAACCATACGCCAACCTTCTCACTCACACACACCACTCACATGCCGGACATACCTTGTATATACTCACATAATCTTTTCTAACACGGCAAGTCTTTTAAGAACAGTCATTATAAGAGACTCTCATGAACATTATTCCAGTGAACTTTGAAATACTAAAATAACAGTTAAAGAGAGACAACTCTTGTTTATTTCAACCTTTTCTTACTTAAATGCTTTCAGATCGTTGTTTGATATTGTACATCTTGTTAAATACATATTTTATATGTAACAATGTCTTTGGCTTATCCTTTTCTGCGTCAGCCTTGTTTCCTAATCTAAAGTTAAATTAATGTGGTGAAGTCCGCCACATTAGCAGCGATGTTTTGTATTTTTTAATCTTATTCTTCTCAAAACTTTCTTGTTTGTTACATAATTTGTCCAGGATATTATCACTGTTTGTAAAAGAACCGTCTCTGTAGCTTCAACTTTTTTTTTTTTTTTTTTTTTTTTTTTAATAAAGTTGTTCAACATTCCCTGCCATGAGGAAGATTAGCCATTTTTACACAGTAATTTCACATTTCTTGTTTCATTTTTCACTTAATAATAAATAACCACAGTCACTGTGTACTACTACTCAACTACCTGCCCCAGGGATCCGTCCCTGTGCTGATGGTATCACGGCTATGACTAGCTTGGACCGGCTCTGATCAGCTTGGTCAAGCTATGACCAGCGGCCCGAGTGAAAACACTCGGGTCCCCACGTTAAAAACTGACCTTGTGTCACAACCTGATTCAGTGGGGGGTCAAGTAAATCTCCTCAACTGATAATTTTGGTCTTTTATTCTGCTGTCAACATTTTTAATAAGAAAATTTCTCAAATTCCAACAGTGACAAAAACAACTAAGACAACGAAACTGGTCAATGAAAAAGAGCCATTATTATTTTTGTTTGTTAATCTTAAATTCAAGAAACGATTTTTAGAAGAATCACGTCTTATTTTTTAAAATAATAGAGAATACGTGATTTTTACGATAAATTCCCTCCTTTTTAGAATTATTTTTTGCATATAAAATTTATATGCACAAAATAATTTTAAAAAGAAGGAAAAGTAATTAATCTTAAAATAAAAATAAAGTTTGATTTAAAAACTTCAGACAGAATCATGATACTACATTTTTATTTTACAATAACATCGACTGTAAAAAGAAAAAAATATGAACGTGAAAAGATGTAGGGAATCAATTATTAAATTGAACATTGAAAATATAATAATAGCAGAAATTAGGATAAGTAATCGTAAAGTAAAAACTGTAAAATGTTAATAAATTCGAGATGAAAAAATTCTTAAAACAAAATCTCAGTCTCAAAGGTTCTATTTTTATTTTATAACAAAAAAAACTCATCGCTTGTTAGTGCGTATTTTACTTTATGCAGTTAAAAAGCATGAAACAAAAAATAAACTTTTTATCTAATAAAAATAAAATATTAACCTAAAAAAGTAAAGAAAGGCACAAGCTGTTTCTTATTTACATTTTTAATTGGTACATTTCGTGTTAGGTTTATTATTGAGATTATTTATCAAACAAAGTGTAAAATTTTTTTACCTGGTAAACTAAGTAATAATGAAGGAAAAACATAAATAGAAATACCTGGAATTTAAAAATATATTTTGTATTTCAGAAAGATGACTGACAAGTGTAAATTAATCCATGGTCAGTGATGTGAAAGATACGTATAACAAATAAAGTAAAAAGAAAACAGCTTTCATTGAATAGTTTTATGATGGCAGTTATCTTCTCCTGTTCTACGTTCTTTTATTGAAGTAGAGGAGGGAGTTCAAAAAGTATAATTTGATTAAATACAGAATTATATATATTCTTAGCAATTATTTTTATTTAAAAGAAAAAAAAAAACAGTGCTCGATACAAAACAGTAAAGAAAAGCTGCAAAATATTATAATTATTTACTTTTTAAAAATATAATTCCATCGCGACACAGAAATTTTCCATGTTTCAAAACTGAAATTAAATTTAATTATAAAAATTAAACTTAAAGTCTCCATAGTCTCGTTCCATTGTCAAGCGACGCAAGGAGTAACTTTCTAAGAAATGTACTTAATTTATAAGCGCAGACAATATTAATATTATAAAATGTTATGGTTAAGGAAAATTCAATTTATTTTAATTTAGGGGTGATTGGATTTTAATTTCCCTGGTCAGCTTATGCGAATTCTACTCGCTTAAAGAACTTTTAGGCGCCTAAAAGTTCTTCCCTTAAAGGACTTTTTTTTCTCCTTTTCTTTCTCTTCTAATTATCTTTATCACTTTACCCTTTTTTCTGTATATGCAAATAAACACTTTCTTTTATTGTTACACACCGAGCAGGAGTTTTTCGTTATTCGTCCGCGCCGAAAAGAGAGAGTTTGTCCGCTCTAATCTTTCTGTTTTTATTCGCGTTTTGTCGCAATTTTTTAACTTCAACCCTTTGAAGCGGGAAGTCGGGACAAATTTCCCAGCATTTTGCTCAAAATATGATATTGTGTGTGCTAAGTACAACATTCTGCTCAAAATATTCCTTTTCTTTCTTTTTTCATAAGGCATCATATTTGCTTTTTTCGGAAGACTCTAGTGCTCGGTGTGTACAAAACATTAAAAGTGGAAGAATTTGTTTGGGATACTTCTTTTCTTTTGTGGGGTTCAGCGTACCCGGATTAAAGGAGAATTTAATATGGGATACCCTGCCCACAAAATACTACGCAAATTTCAAGAAGAAACAACACGATAAGAACGTTTATAAAAAATAGAACATTGTATATTTATTATCTTGTGAATAGGGTTTTCTTTTTAATGTTTTAGTTCGTTTAAGCAAAAAATGTGATTTTGATAAAAATGTCTGTGTTCGCTGTCTTTTTTCTTTTTCCACTTAGCAGAATTTGTCTTTCTTTTTTTTTTTTTATAGTTGTAAAATGAAAAAGGGCGAGCAATTTAAGTTAAAAAAAGTACAGAATGTGGAATAAAGATGAAAGGAAAATGTAAATTTTATGAAATGTTTGAAACCAGTTGTAAATTTGTTGTTGTTGTTGTTCCTTCCTAACAATTTTTCGGGTTGATTTAAATTTTTATTTACTGTCAATCTTCTGGAAAGCTTTTTTCGCCCTTCTCTGACTGAATGACTTGAAAACTCTGTATTTATTGTTGAACTTTTTTTTCACACTTGCTCATTAACTTTTTTTTAGTTTAGCAAATCGCCTCCTTTCATTGGTCAAAAATTAATTTCACACCTTATTGCACTGAAATCTTTTTTTTCGTTCTGATCCGATTTTGCGGGTGTTCCAAATCTACTTTGTGTTTTTTTAGTCATTTGTTGGAATATAGGATTTGTATCCTATGAGGACCAGTGAACAGTTGTTTTGGTGTTTTTTTTTTTCATTTCAGATATCTTTTGTATATTTGGGGGCAATTTTGTATGTTAAAATCAGACGGTATATGCACCTGAGGCGAATGAAGAAAAACAGTAACCAGCGAGTAAATTTCAAGCTCTCCCAGCTGGTATTTCAAACTTGAGTCGTTCCTTCCTGAGTTCTGTCTCCAAATCTCACTAACTTTTCCCGTTCTAGCCGTCAACCGTGAATTTTCCCTTTAGAACTCCCCGACTTTCAGAAAATTGATGGTTGTTTTTTAGTTGTTCATGTACCCATAATTTTTGCGTCTTCCTGTGAATTCCCATAATTCATTGCGTCCATGTCCCATAATGCATTGCATCGTTATTGCATTTTAATGCAGCCAGTCCCCCCTCATTCTTTTTACGTTATCTGGCCGAGGATGGATT